GCAGAACGAGGGAAGAACAGTCATTTTCTCTCCTGCAATGCAAAGCATATATTTTTAATTGGAAAAGTAAGTTTTGTAAGTCAGAGTGGGCAGGTTTTTCTTCTATTCTGACAGATTTGGTCTCTATATTGTAACGCAGAGATGACTGATAACCCCCTTCATAAAATTAGAAACCACACCCCCAGACCATCTGGCATATTACTTAAAGAAAAACACTACCCAACATGGAGCTTATCATTGTATTCAAAAACGAAAATCCAGGCCAGTTTGTCAGAGCCCAGTGCTGCATGTCCGATTCGAAGAGAAACCCCTGGAAAGGCGTCGGGAAAATTCTCAGAAAACAGGATCTTGGATTAATTGGCTGTGACTGGGATCCGTAGTCAGCGGTGGAGTTTCGTTGGCGTGACGGGAGAGCAGAGTCTGACCCTATTTCAAACAGAAAGCGTGCGTGATCCCGGGAAGCCGGCAGCTGTAGCGTGCAGAGTGCAGTTTTACTACTAACAGACTAAATCACCAAAACGGGGGCATTTCCTCTGTTCCGCCTGAGAAGTTCTCTTCGGCTTAGCAGCGTGGTTTTTCTCCTCGCGCTTCACCTCTCCCATCTGTCCCGTGGGAGGTAGGGCTCATTTCATCACCTATTCTGTTTGCCTCCCGCTGGGAACAGCTTTTCCCCCCGTCGTCTCTGCGCGGGGAACCGCGGGGCTGAGGGTGCTTCTCTGCTCGGTGTGAGGGCAGCGGCCACAGGGTCACCTTAGGCCATGTGAATTTAACAGCCTGCGATTAAGAACTGGCAGAGCAGCTTTTGTTAAGTGGGGAAACGTTCTAAATTAACAGTAGGCTTGCATGGAAAAGTGTGAAGTTTGCTGCAGAGCTCAACCTATTGGAAAATCTTCTGTTGACTTTGTGGCTCTTGGCGTGGCGCTCTGGTTAAGGATGTTACAGTGCAACGTGTTGGCTTTCCTCGCATCCCTTAGACACGGCGTCGGCCGCGTGTGTCCCGCATCTTCCCTGGGACGGACAGAGGCAGCACTCCTCCTCCTTTACAGCTGGTCAGTCGCATCTAGGTAAAGGAAAAACCCTAAACGAAACAGGGTCTTGCAGGCCGCTACTTATATTTCCTTTAATAGATCAAAGTTGAAAACTTAATGACATCTATCTCTGCAGTTGGATGTCAGAAGGGCATATTTTGCATCAGGCAGAAAGAAGATCAAACAAACAGATTGACGTTGCCTTGGGCGTTCTGGCTCTAGGACCCATTCGTAAGACAGACCATTTCGTGGTTTTGTACCTTACACTGAATTCCTGAAAAAGAGATAATGAGAATTTCCTTAGCTGCTGCTGTTGGCACTGGGAGCCTTGGACCTATACGCTCTGGATGCACATCAAAGTGACATCTAGAGGGGTTTGTGTTAAGGCTGAGGGACTGTGCCTCACATACAATTGTTTGGGAAGGAGATGGCAACGCGAAAGTATAAATTGATAAATATAACAGTAGTCTTAGGATGCTTTCCACATGCTTATTTAGGGAGAAGAGTAATCACATATTGGCAGAATGTCACAGGAGCTCTGTGATTTATACTCCCATGACCCAGTGGAAAAATGCCAATCTGACAAAAAAGAACAATTTCAGCTACACTAATGGATTGACCAAGGCTAATTGCAAGAGTTTTTCTACCCATCATTGATATGTTGTCAGTACATAAAAGATTACAGAGAAATTTCTTGATCGGCTGCCATGAAAACATTTTTTTTATTATTAAAACGTTAAAAGAGAGCTGCATTAATCTGGCTCGGTGCAGCATCCTCCATCTTCGCTTAGTGACAAGCAGTGTTCCATTTCTAAACTAAGAACCACCCGTTCCTAAGCTTTCCGCTCTAAGCCTCATTTTGTGAGGCGCTAAGCACCCATAAACTCCCAATTCCTTTGCTGAGAGCTGAAACACCTTATCCTGCAACTGCATGCTCCCAAGTCAGTACATAGGGGGGAAAAATTGATGCAAATTCTGACGTGATTTGTTCAGGAGTCCTTTTGCCGGATGGTGGATTAGGTATCGGGCTTCTTTAAAGTCAAACTGGAGAGTGCTGTTTGTGATTGCTGTAGCATCGTTGTGTTAGTGAAATTAAAGAAAGTCTTCTGGCCACACGTCCAGAGTCAAGTGTGGGTTTCAAAGCTGACTTTTGGATCTTTCAGTCCTGCTCAGGCAGGACTCCTCTTGACTTAAAGATTGCTTGAAGTGCAGTGATTTTCCCATTGACTTCACTGGGAAATGGAATTCCTTCCAAATGCCTGCGGGGATGCGGGGGACACCAAGTGCCTTTAGCATTACCGTGTCTTCTGGCACCAGCCGTGTGCTCCATAATTCTGTTCATTAAAAGAAAAAACCAACCCAACATCGATGCTGTGTGGATAGAAATAATACAATTTGTGTTGCATAATGCATTGAGGTTTGACTGGAACTTGTTTTGCAGTCTGCTGTGCTAGCTGTGTAGATCTCCTGTTTAACCCCCACAGCAAGACACGAACTTAGGAAATGATATACATGCCTAAGATATGTAGCGAGACAGTGAGATACAGTATGAGCCAGAGGCCTTCCTCACCTTAGAAATCATCTTATAAGCAACACATGCTCCTCGACATGTCATTTTGCTTTATAAACATGATGATAGAATATGGCTAATTGCAGCTGAGTTGAGCAGTTATATATAAGCACATGGCTTAACATATTGGTTAGCTGATCATACTATTCCTTTAGTCGTACCAGTTTCTTTAAACAAGACAGCACGAAGTCAGTCACGTTAGAAGGGAGCTATGCCAGCGTGCTGAATGTGGGATGAGGACCTGTGGCTCAGGCCCGCCGTACAGCTGGCACCATCCACGGTTTCTCTTTTCAGCAAGACGTCTGTGCCCACCAAGCAGTTCGGATTAGAGGCATTAGTTTTGTCTTTAATCTTTTTTAAACACTTTGCGTGCGGACAGAGATGCTTCTTGCTCTGAGCCTGGCTTGGATCTTGCCCCGAGCGGAATTCGTGCTGCTTTCTTTTGAGTATCGCTTCGTCACCACAAATTGAGGGAGAGGTTGTGACGGCTGGAAGCTGCCCAGAAGGAGGTCCGTGTAAAGGCGCTGGGTGGCTGGGCATTGGGAAGCGGAAGAGGGCTGGAGGAAGGTCAGAACGGATCCTCGTTTCGCAGGACACCGGTTGGGGTCAGTTGGATGGCCGGGTGCCGTTGGAACGGGAGGCAGGAGACCTGGCTCTGCTCCCCGGCTCGGTCGCAGACTTCCTGTGGCGTCTCAGGAGAGCCGTTTTATTTACCCCACCGATGAGTTTTCTGGAGTACGGGGTACAATAAAAGCAGAAATAAAATCTATTAGTTGTTGCTGTGTTACATTACAGGACTGGGACTGCAAATAAGACCCACTGTCACTAATTTTTAAAATTTCCCATCGAAGTCAATGGGAAGCAAGCACTCTACATAGGAAGCAGGAGCCAACTGGCTTGAGGAAATTGAGAGTCTAGATTTCACACTGACTTATTTCAGCCAAGGATCTGCTCAGCTGATCAGGAAAATAGACTGGATCAGTGGGTGATCCTGGCACTACCTCTTTGACCTCCCATGTCATCTTCTCTTAGCTACTTACGATAGCATTTTCCAAGGAGTGAAGATAGACCTTGAGGGACGGAGCCCTTTGTAAGGTGCTGAAGATACCACCATCTTCATGTCTTAGCAGGCTCTGCAGGCGGTTTCACCAGCTGTGTGCTCTTTAGGGCAGGATTTCTTGGAGGGAGGAGAAAAGGAGGTGGTTGGTTTGTAGAGCAGACCCTTACGATGTGCGTTACTCACAAAGCTGAGAATAAAACAAGTTGCAGAGTCACAGTCAACTGTGGATGCAAAATGAACTGGAAGCAGGGAGCGAGGCAGTGCAGGAGACAGGAGTGTAGGGTGTTGGTGGCACGTAGGGAGGGTAATTGAGTATGGTGTAATAACCTTCTGCATTTTTTAGTGTACATCACAGTTTTCTTTGGAGCCAGCAGTGAAACCTTGAAACTCTCTGGCGATGTTACAGAGGGCACCTACAAGCAGCAGAATGCTAAAAATCTTAGTTTGGATGTACTGGAATCTGTAGGCAGTCCTCAGTTTGCTGACATCTTCCTGATCCCCTGGTTGCAGACCGTGCTTGTCGTTTTCAGAACCCCACTGCATGGGACACGACCTGGGCTGCTTCACTTAACAAAACCAAATAGTTGGAGCAGTTATTTTGTTGGTTTTTTATGATAAATGAAATGCCAAGTTTTCCATCTTTGCTTTTTCTCATGGCCCTTTAACCCATGTGGTAGGCTTATTTAGGGAACAAGACAAGCCTGGATGCGGTCCCAGAGTTTGCAGTAGCTTCAGATGCCCCTCCAAAGGTTAGGATACTTCACAGGGGATTTGTTCTGCAACAGAGAGGCTAAAAGGAAACCCATGCTTGTTGCTTTTTGCTTTTGATTCTGTCCTAGTACTGCCCTGAAAACCAAGCAAGAGCAAATTTACAGAGGCAGCATTGTTGCTGTTGGGTGTGTAATACCTTATTTTCTACCGTAGCCTCATGCCAGAACTTCAAAAAAGACTTCTTGTAAGGAGCATTTCACGTGAAGTATTATTGTTCTTATTTCTACACCTTTCCAGTAAGAAAAGCTTTATTGTGCCTTTCACATAGAAATGCAACTGTTTTGCTTTAGATACGGTTTTGTGTCACAGAGTGGGCACTGTTTCTGGGGGCTTTCAGTAAAATGGATATTAGAATTAAATTGAGCATGCTTATACATGACATTCAATGTCTGTGTCTTCCCTGCCTTAGGCCCTTGCAATCGCACTGACGGGAGTTACATTAGACTAAGTGCAGCAGGATTTGGTCTTGTGCATACGTACAGCACGGATTTATATGTATGGAACAGCACTGTAGCGACGACATTCATGCGAATAACATAGCTGAGGTTTAATATTTTCTTTCCTGTTTTAGGATATGATGATGTTTCAGAAACAAACTTGAGATCCTACAGTGTTCATTCTGCTAAACATGTGCAAGAGAATCGTCCTGTGCCCATTCGCAGAAAAAGAAGCATTGGTAAGAAACAAGCTATTTGTGCTTGGAGTGAAAACAGAGGGGGTGCTTTTGGTCAGCCAAGCGGGACATTTCACTGGAAAAATGTGACACGCACAAAGGAAAAAGGCCATTTCTAGTTTCTGCCTTTCTTTCTGCACAAAACTGGCCGTTGCCTGAGAAGCTGTCTTCTGGAGGATGTCCATAGGAGACAGACAAGCACAAATTCTTTACATTCACTTTCTTGTTGCAGCATGTTAGAAAGCTAGACCTCGGTTAGAAAATGCTGTGATATTCAATGTATAATTCATAGTGTGGGGAACAACTACAGCAGTGTGCTTTAAAAAACATCAACAGTTGGTAGAGTTTTCAGTACAGAAGCTCCACAAAAGGAAACAGCTTGACTCTTTATTCAAAAGAAAAAAACAGTTTATCCGAAAAATTAAAAGCCATTGACGGAAACGCTGGGACACTGATTTCCATCATTGTGTAGGGCACCAGGCACGTTTACAGGGGATTTTTTTCTTATTAGACAATAATGATGGTGATCCAACAAAGCCCAGATATAAACATAAAGAGATGTTAATCAATTTTAGAATAAAATTTGTATGCAGTGCTTGTTCACCTGGTTAGATCGGAGTGTTTACCCTTCCATTTGGCTGTGGAAAACATTCACGATCTTATCTATTGTAGGTAATTCAGAGTCAATATATTTGTACTTGAAGCTGTGGTGGCACGCAGTAGATAGCACAGCGTGCTGTCAGCATGGATTTGCAGTGTGAATTGGCAAGCGCGCTCGTCACATTGAATGCCTCTAGAGAACAGCGGTTCTGAAACAGTCTGCTACGCTTGGCACCTTACTCTGCAAGGTGTTGAATGCCTCCCCGTAAAAGTCAGCGGGAACTGGATATGCTCAATAACTTGTAGGCGTTGCCAGCTATCCTGCAGTATTGGAGCCGCTACTTTTCTTGAGTTCGTGGCACTGGGGATTGAGAAGAAGAATTTTCACTCTATTTAGCTGACTGAAATGCATCTCGTTCAACACTAAGCCCAGATTTTCATCTTCCAGGCACAGGCCGGGCCTGAACTTCTTGTACTTCAGAAGTAACTGAAGAAGTGCAGGCAGTATTTCAGTTCCCTGACACATTTCACCCAAAGCTATCATTGCTTTCACTGTAAGGCAAAAAAATCCAAGCTCCCTCAGGACAACTTGCCATCAAACAAGTTGTCCTTGCAATTGCTATTATGTTCTGCACCGTTTTGAATTATCAGCTTGACTTCTTAGGCAGTCCCCAGGTTGAGAACGATACACGGTTTGGATTTTTCATGGCAGCATCCTGCAGCGGTACAGAGCTACTCTTTATGATCCTCACGTGGCTGAAACTGCTGTCTACGAGCTCACCGTACCCGAGCCCAGCAGGGTATTGGTTTAGCCGCAGGTTTTTCAGTCATGCCACTCTTGCGGTTTTGCCTCCTTCAAGAAATAACAAATTAAATAAAACTCAGCGTGTTCAAAGCTTTGACAACTTAATTCAAAAAAATGGCAGTTGCCCTTTGGGATGGCAGATGGACCAGACTCCCTGATGCGGGGCTGTTAAGGTTTTGTAAGCAGAAACCCAAGACTCAGAAGTTTCAAGCTGGTGCAGGTTGTTCCCCAGCTCAGCCAATTTGGGTGGGATATAAATGCCCTCAGTGCAACTTCTGTGGTGGTATTTGCCATGTATGGCATGTTCGTGTGACCATACGTGTGTGCAATGATGGCCCCAATATTGTAGAATAACAGCTGCTGTTCCGCAGTGGCGAAGGGGCTGTGTTGGAGGGTCATCTAATCTGGAGAAGCCCCTGGCTTGCTGTCGCTTCTAAAGAGCCCGGGTTGTCTTCTCTAACGGTGTGTGCTCTGGGCGATGTTGGGAGCCAGGCCATTGTAAACCCTCATTTGAGGGCTGGGCTTTTGGGAGTGAGTCAAGCCTCTCTGGGCTAGCGCAAGCAGCTTAGTGGTGTGCAAACAGTACTCGGCATCGGCTTGGCAGTAGGCAGTGGGAACTGAGAATATCTTCTCAACCCGCCAGCTAAGGGTTGAGACTCATAGATCGGTGGTGTACAGCATCTGGGTGCTCTGAGGTGAGAGCAGCTGCTCACCTGGAGGTGTGAATTTCTTGTGTTCGCAGAGGAAGCTATCCCGGCTGTCTGCAAAACACGGACGGTTATATACGAGATACCTCGGAGTCAGATTGATCCCACCTCTGCCAACTTCCTGATATGGCCACCCTGCGTGGAGGTGAAACGTTGCACGGGCTGTTGCAACACCAGCAGCGTGAAATGCCAGCCATCGCGGATACATCACAGAAGTGTCAAGGTGAGCAAGTCTCAGAGCCCCGAGAACGTCCCCTAAAGTCTAAAAACTCCAGGTATCCTTGTGGCTGTTCTGTGTCACCCGGATCTTTATTATCCGTCCTCACAGCCACAGGGTCGGATACAGTGCTCCTCTCTGTTTTGAGCGAGCAGATGGCCCTTTCAAGTTCCATGATCATTGGAAAATCTTGGGCTTGGATTTGATTTTCACAGGATTCCCTTTAGGTTTTTCTTCTTTTGTAATGAAAATAAAGTTGATTGTGTCTTTCCCATGATCTCTCACAGTACAGATCTTAAAGTTAAGAAGATAAAATGACTCAAGGGGCATTGGACTTAAAAAAATAAATAAATCACAGTATGGAATGCTGTTTTCTTAATTGAATATTATGCAGCCTAAATTGGGCTTTTATATTTGACAACATAACACTTTTGATCTGAAAAAATGTGTTTCAAATTATCTTACCCCAGGGACAGAAGACTCAACGGCTTCATGCTGTATTTACTCATTAGACAAAATCCCTGTTGCAATTTTCCAGTAAATATTACGTGAAATATTTCTTATGTACATTTGGCTTCACTGTGTTCTAATTTTTATCAGCATTTAAAGAAGTAATGTTGATTTACATCTGCATGTGGGAGATTAGACTTCCACTTAGCATTTATATTGTTGAGACTGTGAGTTCTTGTTGGCCCTGAGTATTTTAAGAGCAAAATTAAAAAAAAAACAAAACAACACATTCTTGAACATAAAATTGCCCAGCACAGCATGCTGATGGCTGTACTTGCAATGGATTGGTTATTGAGAAAGGTACTGTTAACCCCCGTAGCGCTGTACGTCCTGAACTCAAAACATGGCATCTAAGCCAGTTCATTGTTTTTCATACATGCGGGCACGTACCTGAGGAGGATTTATTTTTCTTTCCCATTTCTGAACATTTGAAAAATGTTTTCACACCCAAATAAGATGGAGAAACATCTGAACAGATTTTCTCAGTCTTTCAAAAAACAATTACACTTTACACTTGCTTGCTGCCCATTCCTTTGGGGGATACACTTTGCAGAAACAATTAAAAATGAGGAAAAATTGGGACCAATAATTAATTTGAGGGCTGAGAACAAACTGGGGAAGTTGAAGCACTGCAATTCCAAGCCATTCAGAGTAGGAGCTAAATAGCGAAGGGCCTCAGGGTTATCATATCTAGTGCTGTTGCCTTTGGGTTTGATACAGCTTCCAATTAATTTTGTGCTGCAAGTAGTACATACAGAGCAGCTGGAGACGCCCAGCAAACAGTTCGGCAGTGTATTGTGAACTTGCTGTTGGTACTTCTGTATGACATTGCAACCGCGTGCTTGTTTCCTACCTCTGTAGTGATGGGGAAGGCTATAGAGAGGCAGGTTTGGCTGTCCAAGTCCCCTGCTGCTGGGGACTCCGAGCGGTCCCTAGAAGCTGCAAACTCCGCAACTGCCAGCAGTTTTGCAGGATGTCACTGCTGGGGCTGCTTCCCCAGCGCACTGCTGCGTTAGAGAAATCTTACTTTCTCATTCAGTCTGCTGATAATGGTTTTAGTGCTTTTAGATTTGCATTCATTTTAATGGGGCGCAAGCTAAAAGTAGGCTCAGCTGAGCAGCTGCTTTTTGTGGCTGTGTAAATATATTGCCACCAGCAATATCAATATACGTCAGACAGCTTTGGAGGACTATTTTTTTTTTTTTTCCTAAGCTCCAAGACTGCTCCAAACGGTCATTATGTTGCAGGGAAAAAAAAGGACAAGAGGTCAAGCAGGAACAGGATGTTCATTGTAAAGGTTGTAGGCTGACCCCACTGTCACACCAGAAATCTCTGAACAGAATCCATATTTATGCCCTCCAGAGTCAGATCCTCTTGTAGCTTTGATATAATTGATGGTTTTATGAGCCTTTTGCCAGTCCTATGTTCAGAGCTGAATGTCTGCTCATGCCATTAAGTAGCTGGCCCAGAGCGAGGGTCGCTGGAAAGGTAGGGGGAACGGTTTTGGAGAGGTTTCTCCACTGCTCCTGCAGTGCGGTTGGAAAGCCGTCTTGTGTTTTCCCCTGATGTCAGACTGCATAAAAGCCCTCTTTTGATTAAACGTTGAAAAGGCTTTCCCTGCTTCCTCTTCATTGACAAGGTAGTGAGATCATAGCTGGCCCATTCACACTAGAAAAATGTTCACCCAGAAAGGTCAGCAAGTGGGTTTGCATCATCCAGCAGGCGAAACCAAAGGGTGTTTTCTTTGTCTTACTGAGGGCCACTGTAGTCAAGGTTAAGAGACGGCCGTGGCAGTGTGGGAGGAGCAGCGGAGATGCTTGTATTGGGGCATTCCTTTCTTGGGAACACGATTCAAAGGCTGTAGGGTTTGGGGATGTCCTTACTTTGCCTTCACTGCACCTTGGTCAGTGAAGTTCCATTAGTGGGCTTGTGGAATTGGAGCTGTAGAGAGGCTCCACGCCAGGAGTGTTGGTGGAACAGCTTCGCCGAAACGGGTTCTCTAAGGTTTCCCCTTCATGGCGTAGATTAGTAAGAGGTAGGTTTCCCCTGCAGCATAACAGAGTGAGCCCATGAGATCACAGCCCCTTGGCCCTAAAGAAGTCTCTGTTCAGCAAGCTGTACCTGTACAGCGCTGTGAAAATCGGACTGAAGTAAAGCAGCTGGTTGGGAGCTGCTCTTTGATAGGAAGGAAAGAATTGCACTTCTCTCCTGATAGAGAAATGGCGAGTTAGGGACGTTGGTGTCAGTTACAGATACATTTCCTCTCCTGTCTGCAAAAGCATTTCAGTAACATCTGCAGAGGCTGTTGCTTCTGCACAGCGAGATCAAGTATTTTCCAAGTACTGGTCCATAATTTATACGAGGGGTTTCTGAACTGAGTCTTCCCAAGAGGTTTCTTGTAATGCTGAGCATGATATTCTTTATATTTTTGGTCACGGCAGCAAAAACCAGTTAATATTATAGAGCAAATCCTGCCTATACTGCTAATTTTGAATAGCCAAGCTGAGTATTGTGGCTGTTTGCAGCAATGCTCATTTCCAAACTAAGAAGCAAGAGCAAAATCACTCCATCTACCTCAGCTTTGTCTTGTGCTTGGCCTTGAGCCGGAGCCATTCCAGCTTTAGCCATTTCTGAATGCTCAATGTTGAGGTGATTTGGGGAAATTTAACCTAGTATATTCTTACGGTGAATTAGTGTGAGGGAAAGATGCAGAGAGAAGGAGCCGGGAAGAAGGAAGGAACGCAGGAGCAGCTCCTCAGCTCTCGTCTGGTTGTTCAGAGAGGTTTTGAAGAGAGATGGCAAAAAATGCAGGAATTAAAAACGAGTTGTTCAGCAGAGCCATCCAGCCTCTGAAGAGGTTGAAAAGGCCTCGCAGAACAAATAGTGTGTGTAGGTAAAATGGCTGTATGTAATGTTTGCAGGTTTAAGAACATTTTTCTTCGGTGACTGTTCCTATCATTAGGATAAACAGCACTTTGATTTTAGCTGTGGCTTAGCTGGAGATTACTGCCAGCGCGTGGTGGGACCTGCAGGCAGGACCAGCTGGCAGGTATCAAGGGTCGATTTGAGAAGGAGAGAAACAAGGGAAGCCCTGATGCAGGTGAGGACAAAATGGAAAACCAGAGAGAGGTGCGCTCAGAGCATGAGAGGAACCCTGCCACCGCCAGTCGCCTGACAGAGGGCAAGGCTTGGCGGCTCCCTTTTGCAGAGAGAGGATGTAGAGACCCCCCCCATCAGCCATTCCTCCCCCGGGGAGTGGCCGGTTTGCTGCAGCACTCTCCAGTTCTGCCCCCGGACCCTTCCTCCGGCCCAGCCCTCGCGGAGGTGCAGCCAAACCGCCCTCGGAGGCG